ACTGCTTGCTCCCAAGCAATGTCTGAGGTGCTTCAGTTTAATGATGATGATGATGACGATGATGATCATAATAATAATAATAATAATAATAATAATAATAATAATAATAATGATAATAATAATGATAACGTTCTGTGCCATTGGTGCCAATGGTACTTAATAATTATAAATTAAATGCATAACTTCGGTTTTCGATTAAAAAAAAATGAATAACCGCCAGCACGTCTACTTAATCTACAAATGTTTCTGATACTGAATTAGTAGCTATGGGTAATTAACACAGAGTAAAGGATGTGATAAGAAATAATTCCGACTCACTGTCTGGCAATCTATTTTCCTTTGTAATAACTTTCGCTTTACCAGGTCAGAAGATAGGAAAGGATAAACAAATATTAAAGGAAATTGTCCTTTGTGTCTTCGAAAATACACTGCGATATGTTTTATTAGGGTGACAGGGAAAGTTTGTGAATAGACTCGTTTGGCCTCTTAGCAAGAGCTGTTTCTCTGGCAAACAAAGGAAAACAAAGACTCTTTGATAGAGAGTTTAATTAAAACTAGCTGCCTTATTAACCGGTCGGCTGGCTTCACTAATTGACCTTTTTCAAGCTTATTTGGACTATGCACAATTAACGTGACTCTCAGTTAATTAGACATACACCTGTGTAGTATATACAGCCTATTCCTTTGTATTGCTTTGTTTAAAAAGTTTTGTTTAATTCATAAACCAACAGACAACGTTGCGAGTAATTCGGTTTGTGACTGTTAAGAAAGGGGTTGCAAATATTGATCTCTTTTAGAAAGAAGATGTATTTCGTACAACGCGTGTTATTCTCCATTTTCTACTGGTTTGTCAATTATCCGAGATAAGTATTCAGTAATTTTCCAAATAATGAATATTAAGGAGGGGTATTAACCCTCGTATTAAGAATTCATGTGGCTATCGAATCTTGCCTGAATTATGCGTTTTTATCGTCAGCAAAGCAAGATAAAAAGACTAAAACCACGATAAAGTCGGAATCTGTTTTACCCGAAAATTGTTATCCTATTATATACCGGATGTCTTAGTGTATCGTAGCGCTGCTCGGTTTTCCATTTCAAATGAATTAAAGTGACAGTGGAGATTCGTTAAATTCGGTTTTTAACAACTGAAATACACAATAAACCAAGGTAATCAGTTCCCGTATTAAACTTAATAATCTCCCGCAAAGGGTGCGTCCGATCGACTCGTATTCCGGAATAGGCAATGAAGGAAGTGGTATAAAGCCTAGCAAAACTAATTTTGGCATCCCATTGCATTGTATTACCTATATAAATCTGCTAGAGAAAAAATATAAAAAGATGCAAGTAGTCTTCAAGAGGTCCAAGAACCATGGTAGAAGATCGCGAGATTTCTAACAAAACTTTGCGTGTTCTAATTCCAGAATACGATCAATCAAAAGCACGCTTATTGAACAGGTGCTTATCAATTATTTATTTCAATCCCCACCGAAAGTTGTTTTAAGGAGACACCCGGGAAACTAACGCAACAATTAACGGTGGAGTTAACGGCTATCTGACTGACAAGGAACAAGGAAAAGAGAGGAAGAAGAAGCTTTCTAAGTTAGCGTAAAATGAAATCCATATACACAGCATTGTTAGTGGTTTGCATTTTCCTCCTCACTGTTGGTGAAAGTGAAGAGTATGATGCCAGCATACCAGGCAAAAAAGCAACAAGCAAAAGACGACTGTTTCAACAGGTCAGATTATTTTCATTTATACAAGTTCGTTAACCTGGTCTTGAAGGCATCAGAGAAATTGCATGAAAGTTGAAGAAAAGTTTAAAGAGATTTCTATTTATTTCGTTCAATTGGAATATTAGTTCTTCTCTTACTTCCTCTGTTTCTTTTTTCAGGATTTCTCACTAAACTATCGACGTGACCTTTGCTCAGCTGCTCGTTCGTTAAATTGTGGGAAAGAACAACAAAACGAAGCAGAAGACTGATTTAGAGATGAAGAATTTTGCCTTTGCTACATAACCACCTGACTAAGACGAGGGGGAAATCATTTATCAAATTGTAAAACTGAGAACCCTTACACTCTTGAATGTTGACAATAAACATCCTAGTCTATAAATGGCTCGATTCCTGACTGGCAAAACTGGCCCCACGCGCTCTTCTTTTGGAAAGTATTTTGTAATCGTCCCTGAAAACTCAAAACAAACTAATTCAACTGGCGAAATATTTTTCTGCTGCTCCAGTAGTAGCCTGCTTTGTTACTTTGTCTCCGAAACCCAGTGAGAGGCCACACTCCCCCGTTAGTGGAGAATTAATGGGTTTATATTTGAGAACTTGAGTTTGATATAAATTCACCCTGGACCGTTCCTGGGGTACCGTAGTTTCTCCACTAAACGCCCGGCCTTGGTGATAATTTTAACTACGTTTTGTGGTACTTGCCTTCGTTTAGATTTCCGGCTATTTTTAAAGAATAGTTTTTACACCTCTTTTCTCAGCTTTGTATATTTCCTTTGTACCGGTCGAAGCTTATTTCACCGCGTCGTCCAATTTTAAAACTGCGCGCCGTCTTCTCTTTCGGCAGAACCGAATACCCAGTTCTTTGCTTCTCAGTAATACTGTGGAATAGGCACAGAAGGCTCTTTATATTACACATTCATAACCGGATTTTTGAAAACATTATCGCCAAATTAATCTTTTGCGTCCAACGGTTTTTTTCGGCCAGAAACTATCTCTAAAGTAGAATATTTAAAAAATCACGGGAAAAAAACTAAGAGCGCAAGAACTATTTTCTTCCCTTCTCCTCCTTTCCTTTTCTTTCGCTACCGTGAATTTGGAACTTATCGCCGGGCTTAGGAAACCTGCCTTTTGACTGACGCCTTAGTTCACCCAAATGACTCCAGGCCGAATGACTCTAAATTTGGTTATCGTTGTTTTCAAAAAATCGGTTAGATATGTAAGCAAAAGTATGTTGAATACAATTAAGCCTGTTCGATGCTGAGATTTTTTAGAGATGGATCTCGTTACTTTCTTTTTAGGTTGGACTTATCGTTCAAAGGACTATGGGAAATCGTGAATTTTCTGTTTTAGCTAAAAAATTAAAGAACAACATCATTAATGATATACTCCACTCCATCTACATTAAAGTCCTGTTAGCCACTGTTTTGAGGTACAGCTGACAGTCCGTCGTTCATCACGGCAGAGGATGCTTGATTGCAAATGATGCAATTTTTTTGAGTACCAAAGACTTGTTTATTTCATGTACTTTAAATTTAAATTACCACAACAAAATTATAATCACAAACATTAATTTTCGTTTTATTTTTCGTTAGCTATACGTCAACGTTTTGCTGTTTTTGAATCTACTACTTGGTAGAAACCTGTTAATTTTTTTTTGTCAATAGCTTCTAATTCTTCACGGTATTTATACAGAAAAAATCGAGCACAATACGCAGTTGTGCACATCTGTTGTCTAGTCACGAGTTCCATAAACATTGCAAAAAAACTGAATCTTGAATTTCTGACGGTGTTCCTTTTGTGTGATACAATCTTAAGCCAGTAAAACGAGGGCAGTTGGATGTGGATATCATCTTTATCGGACTCATAACATTGGAGAAAATGCCTTGACCTTTTAATTTTTGGCTTTCTTCATAGCTGTAGTTAGCATCAGGTACAACATATGAATCACTGGTGATCTTAACTAAGGATTTTAGCAAATGAATTTCATCAGGAAATATAGAGACAATACTCAAAGATCTACATTCTTGTAGAATAAACTTATTCATTTCATCACACCGAAGTATTAAGTCCACATTTATCTGAGTTTCCATCAACTTTCTCATGCATAATTCATCGATCAGTCCACCCTCCAGTTTCAAAACACCTTTGATTCGACATCCTTGAAAATTCAAGTTGTCTATTTTGCCAGCTTTGATCTCTACGCGGTTGAAGATGCATTTATTAGCACAAAATGTCCTTAATTGATCTTCTGCTTCAACTCGGACCACACTGCAAGGCATCTCGAAAGATTTTCGTTCTCCCTCATTTAAAACTATTTCACCAATTGTCTTACATTTAACGTTAATTGAACCAACTCGAGGCAAACTGATAGACGCACTACCTAGGTTACTGCATCGCAAGTCCACACAAGTCAAACCTTGAGTTGGAATCAAAGACTCCCCTAATGTATCGCAGTCAATGCAACAGAAATACTCTAAACTGGGGCAGTGCACCTGTATGCATTCGACTGTACAGTCATATGTCAACCACACACTTAATCGTGTCAAAGAACAACTCACTCCTGTTTTAAAGAGTTGAAACCCTTCTAGGTGCCCTCTAATAACGTAAAACTGAGCCTTTTTGTTCCTTTGAAGAATTGCATCAACTACGTTTGAAGTTAGTGATTCACAGTTTACCACCTCCAAGAGTTTTATGGTGGTCGATGTAACGTGGAGAGATCGGAGTTTCAAAAGGGTCTCAAGAAAGAGATGCTGCAGTAGTGGAGATATGACTTGAAGAGATCGTAAGCTGGAACATGTAGTTACTTGAAGTCTCCTTAATTTGGGCATAGAGCATTTCAAGTTAACGATATTTTTGGCCGGTAAGTTATGAAGCTCAAAAGATTTCAAGCTCTTTGATTCAAGGTATTGATACCCTGTCATGCAGCGGTGTACATCAGCAAAACTTACTTTCAACCATCTTAGTGAAGCTAGTTTTCTTAAGAGAAGCCTGAGCTCTTTGTGGCCAATGGAAACATATTGAAGTTCCATCTTTGATATAATTAAACCATGATGAGATGATAACAAACACTTTAAAACCTTTATGCCACTTTGATTCATCTGGATATTTGCTTTGCTGCTATTATACGCAGAAATTTGAAGTTCTTTGAGCTTTAGAGCATTCAAAGACTCAATTAAAGCCCTGCTGTCTGAAATTCTCATCATATTAATCGACAATTTTAGAACTTCTAGCTTCCTGCACCTTTCTTTAAGAAGCTGAAGATGTCCCAGATTAATCAAGGATACTGGATGGTAATACCTCTGAATCCATTCCATATCTGACAAATCCCAGAATCCATAAAGAGTTAATTCTTTAAGATTTTCTGCACTTTTCAAGGCTACAAACTGTTCAATGCTCCAAGGTAAGGTAGGGACATCAAGGCATGTAATGTTTCTCATCTCTAAGGTCACAAGACGAATAAAAAACCAAAAGTCGCAACCAAACGCAACATCAAGCGACGGAACTCTTAAGCACTTTATAAATTTGTTAAACTTTCTCAAGCATCTGAATACAATGCTCTTTTCCGCTTTGGTCAATTTTTCAAGCTTGAGGTGCATATGTTCCCAAAGAGAAGGCGTCCGGTGGATGATTTCATTCCAGCGGCGGCATACAACAGAAAATCGAGCGAGTTCATCATAAACAGGGTGCAGAAATAGAAAAATTTCTGAAAGCAGCTCGTTTGGCAAAGTTTCCATGTTGTTTCGTAATTGTTCGTTAGAAAGTCTTTTTGTTATCAATGACGTCAATAGCTTACTGTTACGTCATTACACTAAATACAACATTCTTGTCTTAAGTTAGGGATATACACTAGAAAATCTTGATAAAAAAGGAAATATTGCGAAAGGGAAAAAAGACATTAAGACAGCCAAGATGGCCATTGAAAAAACAATGTTTAACAGTAACTGTTTAATTACTATCTGTAAAAGTGAACTCGTAAAATGCTACGTTAACAGTCACGTAGAAAAATCGTTAAACAACTTATAAAGAGAAACTTTGAACTTGAAAACCTGGCAATAAAATTGAGAAATAGAATTACCATTTGATCTTCAAATAGTTTTTTTTTCTGATCATGAATTACAGTCCTGGAGATCGCTTCTGAGCGCTTATTGTGCGCCATATGTTTCTAACTTGAGACTGTTTGCGCGCGCGCTAAATTGTGCGTCACTAGCGCCATTATAATGACGAGTGAAATTTGAATTAAGTCACAAAAAAACGCGGGCGCATTGTATAAACACAGGTGGCCCAAGCGTAATATGAGAGTTTGAATGGGAAATAAAGAGTTTGAAACTTAGACAAAATAAATGAACTAAAAGCGATAAAAGTTATTAATAAAGTGTAAATATTAATAGGGCCATTTATACGAGGAAAAATAAGACGCGAACTCTCCGTATAAACGGCACATTTCGTCTAAAATAGGGCCATTTATACGAGGAAAAATAAGACGCGAACTTTCCGTATAAACGGCACATTTCGTCTAAAATTAGACGCAGCTTAGCTAAGACGCGTCTTATTTTATAACAGCCCTTAACACCTGTTCTTAGATTAGACGCGTCTTAGCTAAGACGAGAAAAACTTCGTATAAATGACCTTCGTGTCTTACATAAGACGCGAACGCATAGTACGCATGCGTTAATTTTTGGCGGGAAAATTATCGCTTGCTCCGCGGTGGACTGGGAGGCTACTGGCGGGGAAAATTTGTTACAAATTGCAACGCGTTTTCGTTTCTTTGTCTATTCTGCTTTTTTTTCTTCGCTCAAATACAATGAGCACGCCGTTAAAGGTAAAAAGAGACACAAATTGCAACATGACGTCGTAACTTTGGAACGCGCGCCATGTTGGATTGCCGTTGCTACGGGCAACATTCACGTGAAAACGAGTCAAGAACAGAAATAAGACGCGAACCATTTATACGAGCTGTTTTCGTCTTAGATAAGACATGCCCGTATAAATGGTCCAGTTCGCGTCTTATTTAAGACGCGTCTTATTTTTCCTCGAATAAATGGCCCTATTGTTACCTCGAGCTCGTGTCGTTGTGTTTGTTTTTACGAAGTTTCAGCGCGATTTGAGTACTTTTAGATCATTTGACCTGACAGTGTAATAATGAGAGAGTCTCTCATTATTATTTCCCATACAAACGCTCATATTGCGCTTGGGCCACCTGTAGTATAAATATTAAAATTCGCAAAAATAAAAATCGCAGACATGCTCGTTTAATTCATTGATGCTGGCGGTATTTACCCTCGTTTTGAAATTAACTCAAACGGGCACATCGTTCGATTTGAGCCAGATAACAAATGGAACCTGACCAACTTACGCACAGGTCTTTTGATAGTACTAAAACATAACTGTTTTATTAAATGCAAACATCGTTTACAGTTGTAAAATAATATAAAAAAATCAGTGAATTGAACTACACCTGACCCACTCCGCGTATTGTCTGTATATGGTGAAACTAGAAAGGTGCTAATGGAGACTGAAGTGTGCGGAAGTTGTTATGACAACTTCTATTTTACTGCTATTTTTCCATCAATGCAAATATTATTGACACAAGCATGCTTTGGACTTACGAATTATGTTTATGTTTATGTTTAATTATGTTTATGTCAATTATGTTTAATCATTCCTATCCAAAACGTCTCCGATAAGTATGGCTCTAGGTCTCGAAATGAGCGTCCGAAAATTTCAAATAAGCCCTTCCCGAATCGCAATAGCCCAACTCAACTCAACGTTAGGCTCGACTCAACATTATTACAGCAATATTTGCAATATTTGTACAACAACAAGAGCTTGATCTGCAGTTAGCATTAACTTATTTAGGAGGAACAGTCAATCAATCCATGCAAAAACATTGCATATTACAATTCAATTCAATATTTTAGTATAATTTATATTATCTTAATTACAAGGAGCTTTCTATTCAGAATTTGTTAGTGCTGTATAAATTTGGGAAATGTCGATATAGTCACCATGCCTCTTTAGAATCTCAACAAAGAAAAAAGTGGAGTTTCGTTTTTAAAATATGCTTTATCGCATATCTCATCCCATATCTTAGCTTCTACTCTTGAAAATGCACTCTTTTGGATTTCAAACATAGATGTCATAACATGAATAAAGTTGTAAGATGGGGAAGCTGACCACGTGTAATAAGAATGATCAACGTTGTTGTCGTCAAAACGGTTTAAAATGTTTTGGGGTACCTTTTGATTAAAAAATGTTATTCATTAAGGTATGTATCTGCGCCGTTAACTTTGTATATAGTTTTTACTATCTTTAACAGTTAATTTCAAGAAAGTTTCTTTATATCAGTGCATTAACACTATTCCTCGGTTTTTGAGGAACTGAAATACATAAAAAGTAATGAATTGTGCTAAGTCACCCGAAAGGTGTTAATTTAATTACCCCCCGGCTATGGGTGGCATGGAAAGAGAAAACTCAAAATTTTAGAATAATCCCTAGAGCAACGCAAACAAGAACGTGAAATGCAATTATAATGAATCCAGTGTTCAACCAGGACCGTTCCAGTTCATACACTTTTTAGAGCTCAATTTGCGAGTTAATTGAACTTGATGCTGAATTAAAAGAGAAATCAAATTGCTCTCCTGCAGTCTCTCGCATTCATTTTCCCTAAAAACGGAAATTGAAAATTTATCCTTTAACTCCAGTAAGTCAGGTAATTTTCGATATTGATGTTAACTTCGAAAAAGTAAACTAGAGAGCAAATTATATTATCTGAAATTACTACCGAAAGATTTTTATGTTGAAACTTTGCCGTGGTAGTGGTGGTAGTGCCGTGCTACTTTAAACAACAAACGCACTCGAAAGAAGGAAGATATTTTAGGCGGTTGGCAAAAATATCAGCTTCAGTGAACAGAGGGAGAGCATAAGTCCTATTCCTATTATCATTCATTCAAAGTATTTCACCGTTTCTGATTTACTTTATAATCTTAATAATCTGCTGGCGCTGACCAAATTTGGAAGATGTAGTTAATAGAGCGTTTAAGCTTCACGTATACAGCAAACGGCAAAAGTCAGATTTGAGTTGAGAATTTTTAAAAATTGAAAATGAGTAAATAAAAACAGCTCAAAACAATTCCTCAAGATAAAAAATTGCGTGAAACTACTAAAAATTTAGGTGCAGAAATAATGAACAGTAGATGACAAGTAAAGAGGAAAGTTGGTCACTTGGTACAAATTCGCGTTTGTCGTTTGACGTAAACGTGACTCTTTCTCCCTTTTTTTTTAACAAACCTTACAGCTAAGGTGCCGTGACACTGTCTTGGTTGCCTCCTACGACTCTTTTTTTTACATCTTTGTTGGAGTTGAGTGCCTGTTGTCAAGTTCTGGAACTGTTTAACCAGCGTTTTGTACCAAGGGTCTTCACTACTAAAACATATTCATTCATTTTCTCGGACTTCCGTGAAAAATTTTCTTTGGTGTTACTACAGATGATTTATTACATCTTAAGCCCTTGAAAAATTTCAAAAAGAATGCAATATTCTTTAAATCATTCTGGTACAAGGTTTTTGTACACTGAAAATTAAAATTACTCAATTTCCTGGTTGATTCCGTCTTAAATTTCTCGACAATAGTCGAATTACTAGTGATGGTTTCACCCTCGTCGGTTATTATAGATTGAACTGTCGAACATTTTCTCTCTTTGTTTGGGAAAATGCTCTTCGTAGCTCCCCAAAATGATTTCGGGTTAGCCAAATTATCCTGAATTTCGTTTCTCTGATAACGACGCTTCTCAAGTTAGATCCTGTTGGAAACTTGATTTCGTAATCGCCGATACCTACTCGTATCGATCTCAGATCCAGTTTTCCTCGCTTTCCTTAGAAAAGAATCACGTTCATACATAAGTTTTTTTCTTGCGGATGTTAACCACCATGGACATTTAACTCCCCTCAACACTTTATGACGAATAGGAGCATGTTTATTACGAACTGAAAGAAATAACTCTTCCATTTCGACCAAGCGGAGTTTACCGATCCCTTTTGGCGTACACGTCATCCCAGGAACATTTCTTCAAATCCTCACTCTAGAGTTAAAAGAACTTGACTCACATAGCTTGAAGACACTGGACTGTACCGTCTGAGACTCACATAGCTGTTTAATCGTAGACTCATGTAGTTGTTTTTAAACACGCTGTTTAACTGAAAGCGAATATTATCTCGAGTTACATTTCAAACCAAAGCTAGGATAGGGTACATTATGGGAAAAACGTTCTCAAGTAGTTTTGTCCGGCATTGTAGCGGTCATGGCAGGACTTGGAATCGGGACTCGAAATACAATTCAGTGCAGTGCTGTCTTGTTTTCTGATCAAGAAAAGAAGGGGCGAGTCAATTCGAAAGAAAAGTTGGGGTGGTAAAGTGATAGCGTCGACAAGTATGTTGTTTTAGGGACATGCAGAATGTTTGTCTGCGATAGATGAAGACCAAATTGAGACTTTCATTTTTTTATAAATTACTTAGCAACCCTCTCCATTAGTAGAAAAAAGGAATTTTTTTATAATTCCCGATGTTTTAAAGTTATAATTTGTTCCTCTACCCATCGACAATCCTATCTAATATTTACTAGCCTTAATTCTAGGGATAACTCGACGCAACTCATGGACGATATACAGGCGGCTGTCATTATGAGAAAAGTAAAGGATGAAAGTAACAGATTTATTCGCCCAAATGCAAGAGGTATAGAACTGAGACAATAAGGAATACCGACAGAATTAAAGCACTAGCCGAGGTTACAAATATTGATATATTTTCTATTCTGACGTCTTTCAAACACCAACAAGATCACCACTTATATGAGTTTTACCATGTTATTGACAGGGCCGCCAACAGCAGTCCAAGCTGATGTGTACATAGTTTACATAGGAGGCTTTCAAGAAGTTGATATGGTTTGCATTGTTTACTCGCATGAATCTGTGACATTATTTTTGAAATACTCTTTTAGTGTACACTGAGATATGTTTCCACAATAGGTAACTATCGACAGGTAGATTATGTTTTCTGGTAGTTCTCGTTTTCACTGGGAACTGAACTGAACTTGATTGACACTGTTTACTTGGCAGACTTTTACTCTGGAACTCTACTTTCGTCAGTACTAGCGTGATGATAGGTTATCTCATAATTTGCCCAGGAGGCAGATAACTTTACCTGGCGACACCGCTGACAGACTGTGGCAGCCTGACACATATTTTCAAAACACCAAAAAAGGAGAGCTGCACAAACTGACTACCTTAAACAAAGTGATGGTAATTCAACAAGATGGAAGTGTATTTATTAGCACAAGGTAATAAAACCCTTATTTTTTCTTTATGTCTTATTGTGTATTGCCACATGCATAACTGCAGGCTTTCAAAATGAAGGGGACTATTCAACTTCGTGACTAAATTCAACAATTTTCCTGTTCATTTACTGTAACTTCGATTCAAAAAAGTTTAATAAAGGATGTTTTAATCGGAGGGGGCTGTTACATTTTTTCTTCCCCAACACCACTAAAACAAAACACGGAAACATGACCCTGGCACACCTGCATGTCGACAGTTGCTCTAACAAAGTTTCGCACAGTCGTCATTTCCCATTAAAACTGAGCTGATAATCTGAAACCGTGTGAAATTTGTTCTAATTTTTTATGGTCGTCATGACTTTTGACTTGGGTTATTATAATATTTAGAATCACTCTGACGTGTGTTTGTGTCATGGACTTTCGTAAGTTTCCCATGGATCGACAAGAGTGTGAATTGAACTTCTCAAGTTGTAAGTACCGAAAAAATATACGTATCGTTAAAATATAGTAGCTGATTACCAGCATTGATGCTACGTGAGGCTAATGTGTGAGTTTTCATAAAAGGCTAAAAAGACCTTAATTTTTAGTTTTCTAGCTTTTTTTTCTAAATAAACGTTTATATAAATATTGTAATAAATGAAATGAAATGAAATGAAATGAAATGAGGAGTCGTGGATGAGAGGACGAACGTGCCCTCTTACAATACATTTGACCATGTGCTGGGAACAGTAAGCTCTGACGTCAGCATACAAGAGGCCACTGGCAGCCGCTCACAGTCCATTTATAAGCTTCCTGTACTCACCCTACCCATGATGGGAATGATGTGAAGTGTGAAGGTTAACCACAAGACCGGGGTCTACGTCCCCTACTCTTTTCGAACAGTAGTGTGGGTTCTTTTACGTCCCACAAGAACCACACAAGTGTAAGTGCTGTGAGACAGGACATACGGTTTTTTGTCCTTATCCGAGAAGATTAGAGAGCCGAAACGTTTGCAGATGTCGTTACAAAGGCAGCACTTTCTTCTCAGTTATTTAAAGACCCTGAGTGTTGGTCCGGGCGGGGTTCGAACCCGTGACCAGCAGACGTCCAGCAGACCGGCGCTCTCCCAACTGAGCCAACCAGGCGGATTAAATGTCTATGATCCGAGCTGGTAACCAAGTGTCGTCACAAGAACAAGTTCTTCGCAACCAATCACTGAACGCGCCGCTCCAACCGTCCATGAATTTCAAATTTCCAACTTAAAACCGAAAATCTGTCTTCAGAATTTTTAGTCTGATGATCGCTTAGTGCGTGAAACTCCGAGTTACAACTCCATTAAATGCTATCCTTTTCATTCGTAAATGTTTATGTAAAAGGTTTATATTCCTTTTTTTGGCAGCTGTTTATCTTGACCTAGTGCCTGGAGTTTATTATATTTCAAACATTATTTACATCATTCTATTTTAGACCCCGTCTTTTACGGAGTTAAAATTTCGAACTTTATTATGTACTAACCTTCATTCTAATACACTCCAACTGCGGAATAAGCATTCTATTATCTGTTTTATATATATATATATATATACATTTTATTCACTGAAAATGTTTCTTGATTTTTTCATACATTAAGTCTTTTCTATTGACTCTTTTGCTTTGCAGACTCTTTTACTACTGATGATATTGTTTACGAGTGGAAGGAGAGAAATACAACATCGCCAGAAAGTCTAGAGATTACTCAATTTACACTTAAATCAGTCAGCACTCATCAGAAAGTCAGTAACTACATAACTGGTACGCGACTGGTTGATGTGCTGATGTGTGGGGGGTGTGGTCTTCAGAGAGCCACGTGATCTATTAGCGCAGTGTTTACACTTGGTGTCCGGGCACTGGTGTCCGAGTACGGTACTCACTGGGTACTAATGTGAACACAGCCTTTTTTCAAGTACCCACGCTAGTAGAATTCGCGCACGGCGCCGGTGCCCAAAGACAAGGTCTCGACCTTGTACACTGCGGGCATAATATGATCAAAATACAAAAACAAGTTCCTTTCTTTTTAAGTTGACGGTGTTTCTCATCAAATGCTTTCATACTTTTAAATGTTTGTTTCTGTTTTCCTAGGTAATTTCTCTGTTCTTGGCCTGAGATTTGTGTTCACTCGACGCATTGGCCATTACCTGTCAAGGGTTTACATTCCAGCCATTCTTATCGTATCTATGTCTTGGCTTTCATTCTTCATTGATCCCACGTCAGTTCCAGCTCGTGTTGCACTAAGTATAATGACTGTTCTCACAATGACTACACTGTTAATCGGTGTTGGTCAGGGATCTTTGCCCGTGGTATCGTATGTGAAGGCAGTAGACTGGTACCTGATTTTCTGCTATATTTTTGTGTTCAGTGCATTTGCAGAATATGCGATTGTAAACAACATACAAACAGGACACAAATCTACAGAGCTTCGAATGGTAAGAATGAATGTATATTCCATGAGAATAAACATGTGATTATAAGTGAGCTACTTTTACGGTCAACCACAAGTTAAATATCCTATAGAGTAGATCTCAATGATTTTGCCACAATGCTCAGACTATATGCACAGCGACAAAATATGAATACCATCCTAATAATCAGATTCATGTGAAATTACTGACATCTGAGTGAGCTATTTTTTTCCTTCGCTAAAATAATTGTGGTGAACCAAATGTGAATGAACACTTGGAGTGAATGTTTCAGTTTGTTTTTTTAACGTTAACTGAAGCTTGTTTTTCATTTCAGAATTTTAGGAAAACGATCAAACCTACAGATAACAAAACGCACATTTCCTCAAGATCATTTCAGAATGATTATACCAAGGAGAGAATTGTACGACATCCCATCTCTGCATGTTGCACGTCCGATATTAAAATGGCTAATCTGAAAAACATTTTTAGATACGGTTCAGTAGATGATGCAGCCAAGATAGTTTTTGCTGTTGTCTTTATTATTTTCAATGGGTTTTACTGGTGGTATTTTCTGTGTTTTACTGCCTAAAAATAACGTGGCGCGTGGTGCTTAAGAATGGGCTTTAAGGGGACTCCACTCACTTTCAGCTTAATTTTAGTAATTAGTTATAAAAAATAATTTAAATTGAAAAGCAAATGAAATGACTTGGATCTGCTTATGGGTCAAGTAACACCTACTCGTTTCTCAGTCACATGTTCGGAAGAAGAAATCCCTGTCAACCTTAACACGTCATCATCAATAAAAAAAATGGGTTGGTAAGAAGCAATTGTGTTTGCGTAACTTGGGTACTGCTGAGAGAATCAATCAAATATAAATTTGAGTTAAGAAAAAGGACAATTTAGTAATAGAGAGTAATTTCGTAATCTGTACGGGAAGTAGCCCGCGAACGCAGCAGTCAGTTTCAGGTTGTCCCTACTCTCACCACCTGAGAAGTAGCTTGCGATCTCATAAGACGCTCGTCAGGCATATTATAAAATAAAAACCCAAAAAGGCGTTTGTTCACGTAGGCTTTACGGGGAGAAGGAAACAGTAACGCCAGAGGAAAACTTTTACCTCATGACATGCATCCCGCATTAGTTGACCAAAGAAACTTGAATAAGATCAGAGAATTTCCAATAAATTAGTTTGAATCAGTAAACGCCAATTTGTTTTCGTCGAATATGGATTGATACCATAGATAAGCTAATATGAAGTGACTGCGGAGCGATACCGTAGTCCACAATAACTTAGTGCTTTACTTTGTTCAACAAATATGTCAAATAATTGTATTCTGCAAATCAACAAATATACAGCTTCACAAAATAGAACGAATTCGAGCTGTCCTGGCTTGAGTTATTTTCCATTAAATATATGAACTATAATGGCAAAAATAGCTTTTAAGTAAGACAGCATGTCTACAACCTATCAGCTTTAATGAGTGATGAACTGAAGTAATATTACTGATCATGGCATATTTAGCAAAAAT